CCTTGAGAAAAGTGACATTCAAATTAAGCAGAAACTGAGCCAGATACAAGTCAACCTCAGAAATTAACCCCAAGCCATGTAAAAGACAGCATAACCTCTATGCCAGAAGCTTGAGCTTCTGGATATCTGGGTGCACCACATCCGATAATGGCTGTCTCCATAGAGAGCCTAAAAAGAAGTGGAAAAGTTGGACACATCGGAATTGACTGCAGAAGCAGAAACCCAGTTGTAGCTGCCAATCTGGTGTGTCAACAGGATCTGACAATGGGTTGGAACAAATCATATTTCATACTCTGGGTAACAAATGAAGTGGAGAGAAGGTTGAGAGTTGTAATCCCATCCTGTTCAAATGGAAAGCATCTACTGCCAAGGCCCAAAGATGAGGTACTGGAGACTAAATTGCCAGTAGTTGGGTGATCCAATGAGATGCCAACCCACCAATTAGAGTAGCAAAATAAGAGGCAATTCAACTGAAACTTGCAATGCAACATCTATTCTGTCAGGAGAATCTCTTTGGATTGTGACAATGAACTTGCTGCTACAGACACCACCTGTTGAGCATAGCAAGCTAGAAGGGTGATAAGATAAGACTAGTTCTGAGAAAGGAGGTCCAAAATTTGAAAATAAGGAGCCCTAACCACATGCCTCCTTAATAATAAACATAAGACATCACTGCAGAATAGTCAAAGTGAAACCTGACTATTTACCACTTAAGAAGCCCAGATCATGAGACCTTGCCTGTTGAAGAGCAAGAATGACAAAAACATATTCTATAACATTATGCAGGATGGGAGACAGCTGAGCGCGACTGAGAGATGAGATGAAAAATGAAAAATTCTCAGACTGATGACATATTGAATTGGAGCAAGAATACACATAGCAGTCCCTAAAGAGAAGCCTGTCTGCATTGCATATGAAAGTAGAAGCAGGACGTGATGGTCTAACAATTGAAGAGATGTTGCCAGCAGTAACCAGTCATCCCTGGAATGGTGTGTGCACAGTATGATGGAATGAAGGGGACAAGAAAATTTGTATGATATAGCAGCAGAACCCATGTTAAATCTATGCGATACCAAAGGAAAAAAAACTCGAAACTGCAGTACCTGACCCTTGTGCACCACAAATCCTGATAGTGACGGGATTCCACTGCTAAGGCAAAGTGCAGGTAGGAGCCGACTACAACAAACTTGGACATCTACAATCCCAGTAAAAATATCAACACAGATTGAAGAATGATAAACTTGTGAACCTTGGAAAATTTAGGCATTGATATAGACATGGAAGATTGATGACAAGACACCAATCTCATCTTTATAGGCCCAACAACTAACAGGAATAAAAACTCTGAAGAACTAGCTTGACTCTCTCACTATCCCCAGACCAACTAGACTTAGATAACCCTAGAACTAAGTTCTAAATCCTGACAGAAACCCTACAGTTTCGGTAGATAATAGTGGGGAAGATGTAAACTGAATGACCAATTCAGACCCCAAAACCAGCAGAACTTCTGGATATAGACAGAATCCATTCTAAGTACCAATGTACAGAGGAGCCGATGTCACAAACAGGCACAGAACTATGACCACCCTGTAGGAGTCAATGAAATTTGAGACTCCAACAACAACATGGGGGAATGTAGAAGCTGAACTTTGAATCAACGTGCATGCTATCAATGGATCCAGCTTGTCCTCAATGAAACTGGTGACCATGAGAGTCTTCCAACAAAGTGAAGGGAAAGGAAAAAAAAAGTTGAATTGTAAGTTCATAGACTTACTCTGTCCCATCAGGGGACATAGACCTATATAGGTGAACTACAAACTCAGCACCCCAAAATTCGAGGAGCAAATATTATTGTAGTCGGAAAAATGTCTCTACCTAGTGGTGGTAGGCGAAATGACGAAGTTCCAACATGTTGGATAAGGCTTAACTGTCCCTTCACATAACTAAGAAATAAACCTTCCAGCATAAACCACAATTTCCATGTATAGAGAAGAAAAAAAATCCACTCCCCAGACCTGTCAGCAATCAATTAAGTTGCAGGCTCAAAAGCAACCAGGAAAAAGCTCAAAGCATCACACAATCGAAGAACCAATAAAAGAAAAACAAATCAAAGGCAGTTTATCCCAAAGTGACCTCCTTTCTGTTTTTCAAAGACAAGGGTAAAGAAAGTTTTTGTTAGAGCAAAGCAACTGTTGGCCATCTTCCTCGTCCACCCTAGGGAATCGAACCCTGTAGACCAGTGCTGCGAGTCTGTAAACTTACTACTAACCTAGGGGACTGAAAATCCAACAGACTAAAATGAAGTTACATGAAAAACATGAATTTAAAGTCTCTCCAAAATATTGAGTATCGTCCTCAAATGCAGCTTCAGAACCCCGAAGAGAACCACATATCCGAATACGTCTCCATCTCACTATGAATAAGGTTACTGACAGTCTCAACCAAGAGTGACTCTCCCCTCCTGATTGTTGTGAGACATTAGATCTCAAAGGTGGGAAAGGAGAGATCCAACTGGCCTCCATGTTGGAAATAATAATCTGGGAATTCATACCATAATCTGCTTGCCAATGGGAAGAAAGGGAAAAAAAAATTTTTTCAATTATTATTGTTATTACAAAATCAACTATATAACACGATAATGTTCAAAGTGTCTCCAAACGATGAGCATAATACTAGGAAACCATTAGTGATGCTTTGTCGAGAAAAAAAGTGATAAAATTATGGGAATGAAGTGCTTATATACAGTACGAGGATAGAGGGCACACTGACATAGGTGAAGAGTATCACAAGACAAATATTACCAAGGGCAATTGAGTGTGGTATAAAAGATCGGAGCAAGTGAGAAAAAATCAGACTAATGCTTAGATGGGCAAAGAAGAAACCCTGGTGGTCAAGTAAAAGGTATAAGTGGCAGTGGAGGTAAGCATGTTTTGGAAATATAGGTATAAACTGGTCCCAATCCTGTCTGAAGACATTGACAGTGAGGATGAGTGGATGAGGAACCAGAGACCAAAAAAAAGAGGTAACTTGGAATCAAGGAAAAAGGCAAACACATCCCTTTGAGGAGTACCCCAATGGAGACAGAGCCACCAGAAATTTATAACGATCAAGAAACTACTCTGTGGAATAAAGCATGTTGGGACTGGAAAGGTGATCCATAATGAGGTTGAAAGCACCCAGGAATATGACACACTAGGAGACTTAAGTCAAGTGTGTGGCCCCAAAAAGGGAGAATCATGGTCGACCACAAAAGGAACTAGAATGGGTGTCCCCTTGGTGAGTGATACAAACCACCAACATTGAATTCTCAGAATGGATACGGCACAAACTCAGACCCAACCCCGTGCTGAAAAAATACCTAAGATAGCATCTAGAGGGATGAAAAATTGAATTTGGGTATAAGAATAGGAAGTGTTTAACATGAGCATCCTCAGTCTTGGAGAAATGGTCCACTAGAGTGTAATAAACGACAACATAGTAAAATGGGAAAGAACCAAGAAGTGATTGAAGCAGGTCAGATTTATCACAGAACTCTAATCTGCATTGAGAATACAAGACTAATGGAGGAACCCTTAAAAGTAGGACAGGTAAATGATGGGAAGGTGCTGGACATGGAAAATTAATAAAGAATGCATAGCTCAGAATGAGACAAATGAACAACTGTAAAAGAAAATTGCATATAGCATCACAGAAACCCCACGTGACGCTAAAGTCATAGGAAAGTTTCCCACGAAAATCCCCAAGAAATAGGTGGAACACCTCAGAAAAGAGGTGTATGGCAAACAATTTCTGTAGGAGAGTTGATAGAGGAAGATGAAGGATCTACCCTCCATTTAGGCAACAGAGATTCTAAGTGCATGAGAACAAAAACAATCATCTGATGGTAAACTAAGGCAAAATGAACCAAAGCCCATGGAGGACAAGGAATGCAAGCACAAGAGAGACAAAGGCCCAGTATGAACCATAATGTCTAAAGAAGGAAGGGAAAAAATACCATGAAATATGTCTAAAAAGGGCTGAGCTAGGCCTAGCAGACTCTGCAGTAGAGATCTAGGAAAGCAAGTCCAAATCAGGTGGAGGAAAATTGACATATTCGATATCATACCGAATGGATTCAGCAGTTTTAGGAGGAATGGAAGCAATATTGGGAGAAGGTTGGGTGGACCCCACCCCCAGGGGTCCTCACATAACAAACTAATTGTAAGAAGTAGAAAATATGAATGATTATGAAAATGAAATAGTTGTTATATTGTAAAATTAAGTACATGTATCAACAATAAAAAAATTATTATATGGTACTCGTTGAAGAAAAAATATATTTAATCAAATTTACAATTTACCAGTAAAAAAATATATGTAAGCCTAAAATAAGAGACAGTTAATAAAGCCTAATCTGACGATGAAGTACAAAAGATATCACTAAGTTCTAGTTTAAAATCCTAACTTTTACAAATCAAACTAAACTTATGTTATTGAACCCAAATAACTACAGATAACAATATTAATATCAAAAAATATAACAGTATAACAGCTTATCTGTCCAAAGTCAGAGGACCATATTCAAAATTTATGGGCCCCCAAACTCAAGTCCCAACAAAGGTCAACTCACATAATGATTAATCTTCTGACATATGAAAGCTGACCGTTCCTCAGTCAAATACTGCCACCTGAAGTCTTTGTAATTGTGCTGGAAATAAATTATATTACTTCCAAAGTAGAAACTTCAGCGAAAACCAAACAAAATGAGAAGAACAATAAAGGTAAGTGATCACTTAAAACTGTTAAAGTAGAAAAAAAACAGAAAAATATTTCCATTTTGTATGAAATTTTAAAAAAAATGTGGGAAGAGAGCACAAACAGAAGATAGCACTGCCTATCCTAAAACAAATTCTTACCTTAATGAGTACATTGGAAGTCTACCCTTTAACAAGCCCCATACTTGAATAAGTATGGCGATAACCTATCCTTTAATAAACCCTTATCTGAATAAGAAAACTTACTAAATCTCTTTTCATTGCATAAGCATCCTCCCCATCAGCATAGTATTTTGGTTCAATTTCATTAATCCTGTAAAACAATATCATATGTACACAATACAATCCATATTGATAAGTCAGTAGGTCAGTCACAAGTAATACTTTAGAGATCAGTGATAAGTCATTAACAAGTAATACTTTAGAGATCAGTGATAAGTTAGTAGTGGAAGAGGATAGGTAGTAAGTCTTATTGTTGAAGAAGGTCAATGATAAAAAGGTATGTTTTGAAGAGTGATTGATTGTTGTTTGTGAATAAAAGTATTCTGTTTTTGTGTTTTTGAAAACAATTTATATGTATTTGGTTCCGATCTCTACAATATTACTTGTTACTGACCTGCTACAACAATACGACTTACTACTGATCCTCTTCAACTACTGACTTATCACTGACCTCTACAGTGTTACTTGTTACTAACCTACTGACTTATCACTGACCTCTACAGTATTACATGTTATTGACCTGCTACAACAATATGAGTTATCATTAACCTCTTCAACAGTCCCATGACTTGTGATCAACCTTCTTTAACAATATTTATCCCTGATCTTTTGTAATAATGAGATTTATTACTGACCTTCTGGAACAATGAGATTTATCAATGAGCCTCTGTAACAATAAGATTTATCAATGAACTTCTGTAATGATAAGATTTATCAGTGACTCTATGCAACAATAAGATTTAACAATGACCCTCTATAACAATAACATTTATTAATGACCCTCTATAACAATAACATTTATCAATGACCCTCTGTCACAATAAGATTTATCAATGGCTTCTTTAAGAATAAATTACCAATGCTCCTCTTTAGTAATAACTTTTCAGTGACTCTCTGTAACAATAAGACTACCATCAACACTCTTGAACAGCTATAACTTATCAATAACCATTTTTAATAGCTGACTTATCATTAATCTTCTTCAAAAGCTGACTTGTCACCAACCCTCTTTAACAATAAGACTTATCACTGATCCTCTGTAACAATAAGCCTTATCACTGATCCTCTGTAACAATAAGCCTTATCACTGACACTCTTCAACAGCTATGACTTACCAATGACCCTTTTTTAACAACTGACTTATCACTGATTCCCTAGGACAACAAACTTATCACTGACCATCTTCAACAATTATGATTTACAGTTGACCTTCTTCAATTTTGTTTTTATTTCTCTAACACAATTATGTCACAACAATGATTATATTCAACAGTTAGTTCCTTTACATATTGCTCTAATACTGAAAGCTACTACGGATATATGAAAAAGATAAATTACAAAACAAGAAAGCTGGTAGTCTGAGGGCCTCCAGGCTGTACACTGAATAAATAAGCAGGTTATCAGGTTTTGTGTTTTATGGCTTAGTAAATATTTTAATCCTCTAAAACATTTACATTGTATCCTTAATCCTCTATAACAGTGTGACATATTTTGTAAAATAACTATGTGACATAATATAAATCTTTGATTACTAATTCTGTACAAACAAATACATATAACTGGTTTTCTTAAATGATACAGAGAAGCTGCTTATTTAAAATTTTACATTTTTACAATTGAAATGAATTTAAAATAAGTACTTACCTCTGAAGTACTGAATCTCCCCTTGTTGAACTTGTCGCTGTTGACAAAACATATGACTCAAAATTTCTGAATGTCTTTTATACATTGCAGAGCATTCTTCACTGACCTATAATTCTCCACTCTCCCACCTTCTCTGTGGCTTACTGTGTAAGTGTCAGTTGAACTTATATTAAGCTCTGTTTATCTGCCATAAGTTAGATTTTGTTGAAAATTCAAGTTCTGATGAAAATACAGTTGTGTGGAGGCAGGAAGCAAGTATTTCAGTGACAAGTACCTGTTTGAAATTCATTTTAATTCCAAAAAATTGTTGTATTATTTTTTTCTTACCTAACCTATCAAGTTTCTAATTTATACACGTAATTAATTGTATAACAATAAATTTAGTATTTATGTGTGAATTCAGGCCTTCTGCCATTAATGGGTGAGCTTTGTTTTTCTGTAGATGTTGGTTGTCCACAAAATTATTCATGTTTATTTCAAATATGCATTTTATAACACAAACATTAACATGCACTAAAAGTGAATGTTCTAAAACAACTATACTTTCATTGGCTTTCTAACTATGGTATAAATAGGTTTACAAAATTCTGTTAGCTGCATGAACTTAACACCAAGATTATAAACAATGAAACTGAGGATAAATACCTAATTACGAGTGTCAAAATGAAATAATCCATATACAGATTATAATAAAAAAATACTGCTCCTTCTCTTGGTTAGAAATAATCCAATGGCAATATCAGAGAGAATTACTAACATTTCTTGGAATACAGAAGCAGGGGCATTTTTAACGTTGGTCAGTTGCACCGGCAGGCCCCTCTTACTGCGGGCCCCCTAGTAATATAACAAATAGCAGACTGCAAGGTATTTCCTCAAAATTGATTTATATATATTGTACATAGGAAAACTATTTATTTATTGTATTTTAATATTAAAGTAAATTCGAAATTTTATAACTGATCAATACTAATGGGCCACTCTTACGAAAATTGCACTGAGTACTTTGAAGTCTTAAAAATGCCCCTATATAGGATGGTTGTGTTATGTGGGTTTGACATTTTCATTTATATCTCAGTAAAGGAAAAAGACCCAGAGGCTCTAAATTTGTAAATAAAATATCTGTAACGTGTTCGTAATTTAGTTGGGCATTCAGAGAATCATATAATGGTAGAAAGATTGAAAATTTATTTATAGTTTTTTTTTAAATTAAAAACTTAAAAGTAAATAATATATAAACTTGAATTCCAAATTATGTTTTGATGTACATTGATAATGAAGTTACTTTATTAAATTCTGAATGTATCTCTATAGAAAGGTCATGATACCCACCAGGAATACCAATATACAATGGCATGAATACCTGAACAATCAGGGCTTAGAATGCAGCTACAATGTTAGCCCACCACATTACAGATACACTGCACGAGTAACACCTCCAACTAAGTTATAGAAATTCAGTTAGTGGCAGAAATAGTTGCATCAGATAAAACATTGTAGCAAGTTACCAGCATGACTATCAACAAGAAAATTTATATTATGGCTGGAAAGCAGGGCTTATTTAAGATACCTTGATGCTTGCAAAATAAATCACATGGGAGTGTGGAGTTGATAAGTGATGCAGCTTTGCAACACATAAGGAAATTTAGAGCTAAATGTTTTGTTGATAGCACAAGTTCAAACTCAAAGAGGAAAGACTTTCAGTAATTCAGAGGTGAATCTACCTGTTTTGAACTCAGATTTTTTTATGGGATAAAGAGAACCTTCTTACATAAAATACAAGTATTGTTATATAACACAGAGAACTTTCTTATTTGAAATACAAATATTATATGATACAGAGAATCTACTTATGTAAAATACAAGTTTTGTTATATGATACAGAGAATCTTATTACATAAAACAGTTTTTTTTAAGTAAATAAAATCAATGCATAGAAAGAAGACTTACGTAAATCCTAATGTGTTGGTGTACAGATGAAGAGCTGCACGATTACTTTTACGAACATGTAGAGATACATATTTGGCATTGAAACATTCAACCATTGCTCTAGATGACTGGTCCATCAATTTTTGAGCAAGTCCCAAACGTCTGTGTGATCGTTTTACAGCCTAATAATGGCAAAAGCTCAATATAGACACTTTTGACATAAAGTTAACTGTAAAAAAATAAATGTTTCTACTACACAGACAAATTAAAGCTGTTTCTTTTGGCTTTATCTTTTTCTACTGCATAATCACCATTAGCAATATTATACTTTTACTATGTACAAAATGTTTACAGTCTGTATCTGCAGCTTCTGTACACTAGCCTCACTATTGCACATGATTTCCAGCTGTCACATTCAACTCTTTTAATTTTTCTCCTACACTTAGATTATGAGCTGAAAGAATACAAGTAATTGTGATTGATATATATTTTTTGCTTCTAAAATTTTATTTTCCAAAACAATTTGCTTCTTCTCTGAAGGTTTAAAAGATAAAATAACCACACAGCTGTGAATGCAGAGCTGGAGGTTTCTGTCACTCCTGAAGAAGAAAAAGAATAACAAAGATCAAAGTTTATCCTGAAATACAAGAAGTCTGTGGCTATATATCCATGAATATCACTCTAAGATACATAAAACAATCTGCTGGTACCCACTGTTGACTTAAGAACATCTGATACATACCTTTAAGGAACCCATTTGGGCAAATGAGATAAAGGAAAGCTTGTAATGGCTGGAGACGGCTTGAATGGGTAATGAAGAAAAACTTTAATAAAAGTTTAACATAACAGCAAATGTACAGTAAATGTCTCAAAGTGGGTTCCTCGTCACCGAATTTGAACACTCGGATAAAGTTGAATCCTGAAGGTGCTAAAATTTTCTCTTTTTTTGTTTGTTTGTAGTTAAGCACAAAGCTACACAATGGGTTATCTGTGCTCTGCCCACCACGGGTATCGAAACCCGGTTTCTAGCATTGTAAGTCCGCAGACATACCGCTGTATCACTGGGGGGCTTTCGTCTTTGAGTCTGCATTTAAGAAAGTATTAAAATATCGGGTTTTATTTAATTAACTATAGACATTTTAGGCCTGAAAGAAAACTTTCTGCAAAAAAGAAAAAAAACTACTTCACTGTAAAAATAAAATAATACCTAAAACACTAATGTTTGTTTAGGATAATCGCGCAAAGCTTTACAATGACTTTTTGCGTCAGTCTTGCCAAAATTTGAGTTGACAGACTAGAAGGAAGGCAGCTAATCATCAGCACTCATCGTCGGCTCTTGAAATATTCAAACGAAATTATGGGATTTGACAGACACATTTATAACACATCTGTCAGGTCAGTGTTCCCCAAGGGCCCAGGCTTAAAACTAATGACCACAGGAACCGCCGCCACAACGGCTATGTCCGAGTTTTAAAAATAACACTCCAAAGCTGAAAGTGCAAACTATGAACCTTTGGATTCACAGTCTGCCAAACTAGCAACTAAGCCACGTCCGGCACAAAACAAGAACGATAAACAC